CACGATGTTTACACAGCTGTACTTAGCAACAGCCCAGCAACTTTTGGGTTGATAATACGTGTTTACCTAATAGGCCTGGCATAAGCACTAAGAACAGGTAAAACTAAGACCGCTAGATGGCACTTAGCTCCAAGAAACAGTGCTTCTGGTAGGGTTTAGAAGACCCTTATCTTCTAAAGTGTGTATTTGACGTTAGTCACACAGCCTGGTTGGCTAGAGGCACTTAAGACAGTTAACTAAGAATGCTAGATGGCACTAAGAACAGTTTAACTAAGACATGCTAAGATGGGCCACTAAGAAACAGTTGACTAAGAAACTGCGCTAGATGGCACTAAAGAAACAGTTAACTAAGAACACTAAATGGCCCACTAAGAAAGCACTTCAACTAAGAAAACTGCATCGCGCACTAAACAGCTAACTAAGGCGTAGATGGCAACTAAGAACAGTTAACTAAGAAAACTAGATGGCACTAAGAACAGTAACTAGAACGCTAGATGGCACTAAGCCAACAGTTAACTAAGAAAACTACGATGGGGCACTGAAGAACAGTTAACGTAGAGCTAGATCGGCACTGCAAGAACAGTTAAGACTTAACAGAACGTTGAGATGCACTAACAACAGGCCGTCGCGTTTAGGAGGCGGCTCAACTCCTAGGCCCCGAACCCCCTTCACCCATCGCGCATCCTACTTCGGCAGTGCTGTCCGCGAGAGCTTCGCGAGCTGCGGCGGCGGCACGCACGTGCAATTCACCGCTGGCCAACACATTTCGGCATCGACGCACTCGGCCGAGGCATGCGCGATCGGAAGGGTTGGAGAAGGCCCCGCGCTGGCTTGACGTTGCCCTTGACAGCCTGCCGAGGTCGAGTCCCGAGGCAACACAATAGGAGCCGTACGCTCCGCCACTGAGAGATGCCGATGCCCGACGCGGCACGTGCGCCGGGCCGCCGATCGAATTAAGAAGGGCGCGTGCGAGACGGCGTCTGGGCGCACGCGCTCTTACCGTTACTAACCTTGACGGGCTTGTCGAAGGTCAATTCCCGGAGGAAGACGAAGAGAGCTCGCTTCGGGCGACATGCAGGGCGTACGCTGACGCCGAGCGCGTCTGGAAGGATGCGTTCCGCCAATTTCGTGACCGCGCGCCTGTCGTGATCGCACCCAGAGAAAGCGTGAGAGTGACGTATTATTATGTTGAGGAGTGATCGGCTGTATAATATGTTTTAGTTTAAAGTTAAATTAGTTTGGTAGTAAAGAGAAAATTATAAGAGTTATATTAGCGTGTATATGATATCCTATTAAATGTTAAAATAGCTTCTCGCGTATGGGTTACAATGAAAGATCATGCAGTTATATAGGTATAGTACGATGCATATTATATATTAAATTCTTTAAATAGTTTTGATAGTAAAATAAAATATAAGAGTTCTTATTATTAGTACGTATTATTATTGTTATATAACTCCAATTATCTACTTATTATTTAATAATTTATATTTCAAATTCGTTATTTATTTAATACGTTTATTTATTTAAGCTGATTTCGCACATGCACCCTAATTCACGAGGGGGGGGGGGGTGGGGATGCGAGCGACCTAAAATGAGGGTGGCGATTCAACAATGGACAGGGCGGGAGCCAGACAAATATGCCAACAGCAACAGTACAACATTCAAACAAAGCAAGTCAGCTACATGACAACAACAAAACCAACGTCGACAAGTACAACAACAAGAACAGAACAAAAAGGGCAACAACAACATTCAACAAACAACAAACATTGCACAAGGCAACAAACTACATACGACAAAACCAACTCGACTACAACAACAAGACAAACAAACAGAGCAACAACACCATGCCAACAAAAAACAACATTCAACAAAGCAGACATTCGCCCGCGCGCCGCCGCTCGCGTACCGTTCTTTCCAGACGGCGACGCCTTCACGTTGCCGCGTGCGCTCCGATATGTAAACCGGCGCCCGCGCCGCACCGCCAGCGATGTGTTACCCGCCGCTAGCACTCGAGATGGCACCACCGGCGCCCGGTGCGTTGCCTGCCGGAGCGGAAGAGCGCTTCGGGGTCATCGCGTCCGAAGCTGCCCAGACGAGCATTGTCCCGGTTCGCGCGGCCCGCGTGACAGGCGGGGTCGCTCGCGTCCACCTGACGACGAGGAAGAGCTGTACGCATCAGAGAAGAGAGGAAGGTAGGGAGAGGAGGGGGCGTCGGGAGGGAGGAGGGCTTCGGGTCGTTGGAAGGGAGGGAGAACGCGGAGGGGGCATCGGGGAAGGCGAAGAGAGAGGAGAAGGGCGTCGGGGGGGGTGGGAGCGGGGGCAGAGGCAGGGGGGCGTATGGAGGGGAGAAGGATGAGTCAGTCGTTGCGGAGGAGACGAGAATAAGGGAGCGGGGCTGGGAAGGGCGGAGAGGGAGGGGCATCGGGAGGAGGAGAATGAGGGGAGCAGGGCGTCGGGAGGGAGGACGCAGGGAAGCTCGTCGGAGCGGGAGGCAGAGGGAGGGTGTCGGGAGGGATGGCAGAGGGCACGAGTCGCTCAGGAGGGAGCAGAGGGAGCAGGTCGGTCTTGTGAATGAGGCAAGGGGAGAGTCGGCGGGAGAGGCAAGGGAAGTCGTTCGCGGGGCAGGAGGCAAGACGGGAGGAGGTCGTGCCGGATGGAGGGAGAGGGGAGAGTCGTTCGTGAGGGAGCGAGAGGCGCTGGGCGTCACCGGAAACGCTTGGACTATACTGGCATTCGGTTAGGAGCAGCGGGAAACGAGAGTATGAGGTCGACAGCAGAAGCAATGAATGACAAAGCAAAAAAGCGCAGAACGCCACGACCGCTGCTGAAGCGGCCAAGTCTCCCTGTAGGACTGGCGTTACTGTCATCTCTCTCTCTCTCTCTCTCGCTTGCTCCTTTCTCTCGTCTATCTCTTCTAATGTCTTCCCCCTCACTCTTCGTGCTACTCGCACTGCTATATACTACTGCTGCGCATATCTACGTCGCTCATATAGTAGACTACCTACCACTCCTTATCGCGTCTACCTAACGTCCTTAGTCTAAGATGTTGAATAGGAATCATTATTAATTATTAATTAAATATGATGATTATTAGATTGAAAGGAGTATATCAGCGGCATATATATGTATCAAGAAGCTATTAATAATGATTATTAAAAACTATTATCGATTATTTCATATTATAAAATTCATGGTCGTCGTTTATATTAATAAATAATTATTAACTTTAATAATGCTACATCGTGTTACCTGCATGGCCGCTCACTGAGCGCATGACGAGGACCAGAGGACCGTCATGGAATGCCACTGCTCTCTCCCAGGTTGTTTCTCTATCAGCGGTCTCCGACGACGCGTCTATCGTTAGCCTCGCGTCTGCAATGCTCGAGCAAAGTCTGACTGTCTGAGGATGGTCGTTGATCTCGGTCTCTCTGTGCTGTTAGTATTCGCACGATCCGAGTTCCGGGTGTTTCTCGACGCTTCCATCACCTGTCTTAACATCACTTTATTTCTACGTTTTTTGTTTGATTATAGAGGTTGGTTTTTTTGCCAGACGTTGGTTTGGCGTGTTACGTAGAAACTCTTCGACAGCTTGGCTTAGTCCACCGGTCGACTAGATTCGAGATGCGGCTTGCTTCGATCAGGCGGGATTGATTTGAGATTTGTCGAACCGCGAAAATCTGCCAAAATTTAAACTTCGCCGGCGCGAAATGAAAATATAGCTTAGATACTAATCAGGAGTAGATATATAGGGAGGAGTGCTAACAATAAACAAGGGAAATTCGCTCATTTACTAGCCTTATAATTACCTACGAGTTGACTACGCAGCTAAACTTCGATCCAACGTGGAGCCTGCAGAATCGGCGACACAGTACATTTCGCCTATCAGCGGGGGGCAAAATCGCCCCCTTTCCTCGTAGCGACACCTCAAGGGGGGGGCCGGAGAATACAGCCTAAAACGTACGACACGATTCTCCGCATTCTTCTGGGCCAGCAATCAACGCCGATTGGCCGCGCCTTATAATTCAGAACAAAAGGCGCTACCCTAACGTGCCTATTGCTAACTCAGCCGAGAGCATGTGCTCGCTGCGCGAGATTAGGCATAACACTCGCGCGAGATAACCTTTGACCCGCGTACACAGCAACACGAGGCGCAGCCTCTGTACATAGCTTCTGCGCATGCCTTCACGCATGCACGGCCCAAGCCGCATGGCATTTAGCCTCGTCGAGTGTTGCGTCGATGTCACAAATCTCCCGCCGAAGCCACAAGGCCACATTCCGCATTCCAGGAGAGCAAACAACACTGTGTGGACACGAGCGGCGACTGACGGCAGGTGTTGCTGCCTTTATGTCTGGAATTCATAGTGCGCCCGGAAATAGGCGTTGGATTGATGGCCAAAAAAATAGGAGATTGTGTCGTACGTTAGGCTTGCTATCTCCGGCTTGCGGGTGTATACGAGGAAAACGCATCGGGGCGCGACGCGATGATAGGGCGAAATGCTGACTGCTGGTCCATTTAGCTTCAAGCTTGGATTGAGTACGCCGTGAGTAAATCGTAGCGGTATGTATAGCGCTAGGAAATGACGAAGTTCCCCTTGTTTATTGATGTCATCACCCTGCCCTATTGAGTCTACTGCCTGCATACTAAATAGAGTAGTTAGAAAAGTGTATATAAGTCAAGAGGTGCCATCAATAGATAATACATATTTCTATTTATGGACGCTTGATCAGATATAGTTTCCATCGTTATATCGTCCGCGCGCCTTCACACCGCGCGAGCGAGGGGAGGCCAGCGGCGGAAGGGAATTGGCCACCTGTTCAATGACATCAGGGAGCGGGAGGGGCAGGAGGAAGGAGGGGGCAGCAGGAGAAGGGAATCGGCTACCTGTGTTCCAATGACGATCAGCGGAGGGGAGGCGGTATGAGGAGGCGGTGAGGGGAGGGGCAGGAGGAAGGGCGGAGGGAGCGCGGCGCAGGAGCGGAAGGGAATCGGTCACCTATTTCAATGACAATCAGCGTCGCTCGCTGCCCAGTAGGCCCGCAGGCAACAATCACTGGGGTTGTACACGTACACCCCCCTCAGCATCCTTCCTGCAAAGAGCAAACAGCCAGCATGAATTATTTATAGGCAGCTGCAGAAGGCAGCGAGCCAGAGCAAGAGCGAGTAGCAGCACAGCAGTAACAGCCCAGCAGCAACAGTAGCAGCCAGCCAGCAAACAGTTCTGCAGCAGCAGCAGCCAGCAACGGCGTAGCGGAGAGACAGCAGTAGCAGCAGCGAGCCAGTTGTAGTACGAGCAGCAACAGCTTTAGCAGCCGAGCGCAACTGAGTAGCAGCAGCAGCCGAGGTAGTAGGTGAGGCAGCGAGCAACAGTAGCAGCAGCGAGCAACAGTAGCAGCAGTCAGCCAGCAGCCGAGCAAGCACCAGTAAGCAGCCAGCACCAGTAGTAGTAGTGGAACTCTCTTTTACACATGCTTGACAGAATGTTACATCTGAATTAGTAATCGTTCGGCATATATAGCAACATATATATTTCTTTAGTTGAACACAAAATTATAATTTCTCTTGATTATCTTACTATGCTAAAAGTTATAACATACAAGCGTACGCTCCTACAGTAGCAGCAGAACAGTAGCAGCATAGCAGCAAGCAGCACAGAGCAGTAGCAGCATGCACGCAGCAAGCGCAAGAGCAAGAGCGAGCAGCAGCAAGAGCAGTATAGTAACAGCACGCAACAGTAGCAGCAGCAGCAGCAGCCGCAGTAGCCCCAGCAAGAGCCATTAGCTAAGCGCAAGAGCAGAGCAGCAGCAGCAGTAACAGCTCCAGCTCAGCCCAAGCAGCAAGCAAGAAGCCCAGCAGCATGTATCAACAGAATCTCCGTACGCGAATAAGCTCGGGTTCGCGCGTGAGTATACACATGTTTTTTAGTATTTACTGCGTTACTTGTGTAAGTGACACTTTTGTGTTAGCATAACTTCATTAAAGAATCGAGTTGACTTATACACGCAGCCAAGAATATCTTGTTAACTAGCTAGCCAACTTTTCAAGGCCAAAAATATGGAGTGCGCACTTATAGCGTAACTTATATGAGTAATACGGTATTACAGGCAGCGAAATTCAGGATTTTTTTGCACTACGGCCCAGCAAGGGGCTGGTAACAGTAATTTTTACCAGGCCTCACCATAATTACAGCCCTCACAATTTAGTTTGTAAAAATTCAATTTCAGTTTCACGCTTGCATCTCAATTTCCGAATTTCGTAAAAAGTTAGGGCGGTGACAATAAAAAGTGTAGGCTAGTACTCACTAACACGCGCTGAAAACCACCGGCTCGGACCAATGTTACCGGCCCTCCAAATAATTTGCCGGCATATATATGCCGCGAGGGCCGGTGCTAATTTCGCGCCCTGGGTATAAACGACGCGCTGATCTGTCTCGTCCGCCACCGACGTACGATCATTGTAGTACGCTGAAACCTGTATGGACCAACTCGAGGAAATGCAAAAGGGTGGCTTTATAGGCAGGCCGTTGCCGTCAGCTGGTTTGACTGCTACGACCCGCAGTGGTTTGACTGTACGACCGCAGTGGTTTGACTGTACGACCGCAGTGGGTGACTGTAAAGCTTGAGGAATATGCAAGTGCGTATATTAATAAATGGTTAAAAATTTAAGGGCAGCTTAAGTGGCAGTTTTGCTGCATAAAAGTGTCATTTTTTCTGCCGGCTCTCAACGTCGGCAGCAAATACTTTCTGCCAAGAAATTCCTAATAAACCACAGTGAATTAAAGCACCAAGATTCTGCCCAGGGGGGGTGCCGGTCAGACAGAAATTGTTGCCGCCTGCCTCCGGTTTTCTCGGACAGCAAGACGTCTATCCCCGTGTACTAACGGGCGATTATTATAATTAACTTATCTATTACACTTAAGTTATTTAACAGCTTTACTTATTTTGCTTAATATGTATACATTGGTGTAACTTTATAATTATTTAATTTAATAGTTGCCGTGGGGCAGCGCAGCTGGCGGAGGCCGTCGGTGTATTCGTGGCTTGGCGGCGGGCAGTCGGGCAGCGAGGGGCGGGATGTGCTGGGGGCAGCGATGTACTACCCGCTGTCCAGACACCACGTCGCAGTGTGCCAGCTCTAGTGAGCAAGCTGCAACCTGACGGCCCGCCCTCCCTGTAGGTTGCAATCCGCCGTGTCATCAAGGTCATCGACCGGGGCTCCGACTCGCGCCCGCTGCCCTGCGCGGAGGAAAACCCGAGATGAGTGGGCACAAAACGGCGACGCCGGCGTGTCCCTCGCGCAGGAACAAGCGGCGTGAGATGAAGGTCGCTGTTTGGCGCGCGCTCGTGACGAAACGCACGTCGCCGCTCGTACATCCAAACTAAAACACGATTCACGTAAGTAAAGTCAGTCAATTCTAGTACGGTCGATTCACGAATCACAAAAAGTCAATCACACGTATAGTTACTAGTAAGCCCGCTCCAAATACACCGGTAAACTCAGCAGCATTCGGCAACGCGACCGTGTTGTCGGCAGCGTTAAAAATAAACGCGGCTCGAAATCAAGACGGGAGAACCCCTCTCCTCCCTCGCAGGGGAAGGAGAGGGCCCCCGTCTCCTTCCCCCAGGGGAGAGAGAGAACCCCTTGCCTCCCCCAGTGGGGGGGAGAAACCTTTGCCTCCCCCTGGGAGAAAGAGAACCCCTCGCCTCCCCAGAGGGAGAGAGAACCCCTCGCCTCCCCCAGGGGGAAAGAGAGAACCCCTCGCCTTCCCCCAGGGGGAGAGAGAGAACCCCTCGCCTCCACAGGGGGATGAGAGCAGAAACTCCTTCGCCTCCCCCAGGAGGCGAGAGCAGAACCCCTTCGCCTCCCCAGGGAGGAGAGCAGAAACCCTCGCCGCCCCCCAAGAGGAGAGCAGAGAACCCCTTCGCCATCCCCCGAGAGGAAGAGCGAAAACCCTCGCCATCCCCAGAGGAGTAGGAAGAGAAACCCCTCGCTCCCTCCAGGCCCGGGCGAAGCAGAACCTCTCTCTCTTTCTCATTATATATTAGAAACCCCCTCGCGCGTTCCCAGGGGGAGAGAGATGTGCAGAGACGAATCCCCTTGCGAGTCCCCCAGTGGGAGGAGAGAACCCCCCCAAGAGAGAGAGAATGCCTCGCCTCCCCCAGCGCGGCCGAGAGCGAGAGAGCCGCCCCAAGCGGGAGAGAGAGAGACGCCTCGGCCTCCCCAGGGGTGAACGATGAAACCCCGTCGCCTCCCCTCAGGGGCCGAGAGCCAGAGAACCCCCAAAGCGGAGCCAGAGAGAACCACCGCGCCTCCCCCAGCGGCGAGCAAGCAGAGACGAGAACCCCTCACCTTCCCCAGGCGGGAGAGATGAGAACCCCTCACCTGTCCCAGCGCGGGGAGAGAGAGACGGAGAACCCTGCCTCCCCAGTGTGGAGGATGAGAACCCGCCCCAAGGGTGAGATTTGCATGAGAATGCCTCGCCTTCCCCCAGGGCGTCTGAGCAGAGCAGCATACCGTCTCTATCCTCCCCTCAGGCGGTGGAGAGAGAGAACCCCTCGCCTCCTCTCAGGGCGAGAGATGAGAACCCCTCGGCCTCCCCCGAGAGGAGGAGAGCAGCACAGAGTAACCCTCTCGCCTCCCCCAGGGGGAGAGAGAGAACCCCTCGCCTCCCCCAGGGGGAGAGAGAGAACCCCTCGCCTCCCCAGGGGGAGAGAGAGAACCCCTCGCCTCCCCCAAGAGAAGAGAGAAAACCCCTCGTCTCCCCCCAGGGAGAGAGAGAGAACCCCTCACCTCCCGGAAACCCCCCCTAGGGGAGCGAACCCCACGCGCGCGCCGCTAGGATAAACAGATACTTACAGATGTTTGTTGAGTGTTCGGGCGACAGAGCGACGACACCTGTCACGGCCGCTGTATGGCCTCCCATGCTGCGTAGCTCCCGGCCTGTGCGCGCGTCCCACGCTCTCACCGTCGTGTCACGACTGTAACGCCACATAGAGGGGGGTGTGATGAAGCGAGCGAGCGGGAGGGGGCGGGGGCGGTGCAGGGGCGGGGAGGGCATGGGCGCGGCTGGCTACATCATGCATTACCGTTATTATTGTTGTTATGATTAATATTATTATCATTACTAATATTTATTATTATTATTATTATTATCATTATTACTATTTTATTATTATTATTACTGTAACTATTATTTATGATTAATATTATTATCATCATTACGACCGACTGACGGACCGACAAATAGACAAACCGACACACCTGCAGGATAGACAGACCGACACACACACCTGCAGGATAGACAGACCGACACACACACCTGCAGGATAGACAGACCGACACACACACACCTGCAGGATAGACAGACCGGCACACACACCTGCAGGATAGACAGACCGATGCACACACCTGCAGGATAGATAGACCGACACACACACGCCTGCAGGATAGACAGACCGATGAACACACCTGCAGGATAGATAGACCGACACACACACACCTGCAGGATAGACAGACCG